CAATTCGAGAGGAGGATCGATCTCTCCCAAATCTCTGGCAACGCCAAGAGCCCAAAGAAAACCTAAATCTAAGAGATCTCAAATTTCAGCCAAATTCAAGATGCCCAAATCCTAGGAAAACAAACTATTTAATGCATACCAATCAAAAGGAAATCCCTAAACAGTCGCTACATTCAAATTCTCCTCTTAATCTCCCTAAAAAACCTTCCTAGTAGGCTCCCGCAATGCTAACGGCTCGCACGACCTCCGCCCAGGCGAAACAAGTCACCTGTTTCACGACTCAGCCGGTCCCATGCGGACCGGCCCACTGGACCGGTCTAACAGATAAATACCAAATCTTACAAGCTTCTAAAGGAGGTCCATTATACATTCAACTCGATATCTGCGAGCAAATGTAAAAGATCTGCAATCTATACAAGCTCTCTACGAAGACAGATATACCTGCCACATGCCACTTATAGGTAGATGCAGAAAGACTTCAGTAAATGCAGTATTCTGAATTCAATTTTAACCTATAAATGAAGTCATCTACCTACCTACATGCAATAGTAGCGGATGTACTAAAAAGGCCAAAGGCCACAACAAAATGCATGGAGAATACGACAAGTGCAAGCTCCTACGACCCAAAGCAGGAGGTTCGTTAGTACACTATGATCCAACTGCAGAAAGCAACAAGTAGTGCATGACAGTCTATCTATATAGAGCAGCGAATAAATCAATTCAGAAGCTGCTATGTAACGCCACCGAATTCGCAACACTTATACAAGCAGACAGAAGGTGTCTACAAGTTACAACGCAACGTCACCGGATCTGGAATACTTATACAAGCAGACATAAGGCGTCTACAAGTTACAACGCCACGCCACCGGTTCCGCAACATTCATGCAAGCGGACAGATGGCGTTTACAAATGTTTCAAAGTACCCTTGCACATGCACCGTAGTTTGTATACACATAGGTACACGAAAAGAGCAAGTGCAATCATAAAACCTGCATGGGTCCCGGCGAGCATGTTGAAGGGATACATGTGACGTCTAGGGATGCTACGCGGGTTAGTAAACCTGAATTCAATCCTCCTAAGCTGGTAAGTAGGAGTCGATAGGGTTCAGCAAATACTTATAAAATGCCCACCAAACACCTGCATGGGCTTTGACAAGCGTGTTATTGGTACACACGTGACGCCTAGGGATACTGCGCGGGTCGATAAGTGAATTCAAGTTCGAACCTGATCCTTCCATGCAGATCAATAGGAGTCGACAGGGTTTGAACATTCAAACAAATACACGGTTGTGGGGACCGATGTATTTGTTATAATACATTCATATTAGGCCTTCAAAGCCTATAATCAATATGAATTCACTAATAAAGGTACAAAGCCTACAAAGCCCAACCCCATATCGACAAGTTGATAGGGTAGATAAGGTTTAGTCAATGAATGATCCCACACCCCGATGATAGCCGTGTTGAATGAAAATCTCAACCGGAGGGGTTAATTTCAGGCATTTTCAAATGCCACCTCAAATATCTACAAAGTCCAAAATTCCAAAAATCCCAAATTCAAAAAATATTTAAACTGAAATCCAATCATAAATCACTTAAAGCAAAATACATTCACCATCCGCAACAGTTTGCCGAGGTGGACAAATGAAATTTACTTAAGTTCACATAGAGCCAAATGCCTAGTAGAAAATATCACTATGATCCATTATCAAATAATTTTCTTCCAGTAAGGACGTGGTACGTGTCCTCTAACCGGCGGTTTTGCCGCCAAATGGCACCGGAGGATAAACGGTTATGACCCGGGGCCCTCTGAATCGAGTGGTTTTGCCGCCAAATAGCACCACGAAATATCGGTTATGGCCAGAGCCAATGCGCTCCTTAATGACATCAAATCCTTGAGATATGAATCAATAGGATATGATCGATAGAGCACAAAGCCCTCTGTTAGCTAAGGTGGATTCAAATTTGTCCCCTTTGACAAATATTCACCTCAGGTCTACAAGGTACCCTTGGACGAAGCAACCCATGGCTGCTAACAAGGATCCTTCTATCAGGTTGGGTCGACTACCTCCTCTGACTAAGTAGACCAGGGACCACGATGGCCCGGGACGACGGAACCATGGGATCTTGATCGGGTCTATCATTCATTCCCCCACCATCCGCTTTAAGTGAAAGATGGTGAAATTTTTATTTTAAATATCAATTTCCAACCATTCAAACTTCCAGTACCCAATCTCTAATATCTATGTTCATGCTGCTACTATATGCCAGATATTACGTATCTATACATATCTGATTGACGACTAGCCTTAATCGAAAGTTCTCTCTCGTTATCGGGAGGGGTAATTAACTATAGGGGCTTGCGCCTATAGGAAACAAGAACTCAGATCATAAAGTTATCGCAAAATGAGGGCGAAATCTCTGGGTAGTGTCTTATTACAAATCCATCTGCCTTCCAAAATTTACCCCGAAACTTAAATCCATTAAAACTCCCTCGCCAAAAGAAAAAGCAAATCAGTGCGGGCAGAGGCCGGGGCCGAATTTTTGGAGCTCACACCCATTCTAAATGGTTCTTTGTTAACAATGATATCATCCATCCGAATTGAAGAAGAGGATGAAGGATTTGAAGCAAGGGAACTTGAAAGTGGAATCTCTTTAGGAAGTTCTCTTCTACTTCTTTGCTTGGGTTCACTTTCTTTTGTAATTCAACCACCAGTGGTGAATTTATTTTTGGGCAAATTTTAATCCCATTCTCAACAATCTTCACCAAATGAGCTTTAACTTTATAGTATGATTCTTTATATCATTACAGTAATTGCATTTGAATACATTGCCACCACCTTCAGAAATTTTTCCTAATTTTGTGACATGAACAAAGGTTTGTTATCTTCAATGTTGGGCTCTGATGAACCATCACCGGTCCTAATTCCACTTCCACTAGAATTCATTATCCGAAGAAAGAATAAAAAGATTGAAATTTGACACAAGTTTTAGGTTCAAATGTTATAACTCCAAATACAATGCTCAAATGTTAGATAATTAATAACTCAATCGAAGAGTTAAACTCAGCGGCTACTATGAATTTTGGGACATTATTTCACTAATTTTGGCTAATTTTGTGACAAGATTCCACTAGTGTTGGGACATTTTCCACCAATTTTGTGACATGATTTCAAGAGTTTTGGCTAATAAGATATCTGGGTAATAAAAATTTTATGGCATGATTCCACTATAGAGAACTAATTAGTTAATAAAAAATCAAGTTTTATTTTTGTGACATGATTCCTTATTTTTTATAATTTTATTTCAATAAATAAGACTTTATTAAGCTTTTGAAAAAAAAAAGATATAATATACATGAGGAAGGATTAACGAAGAAGCTAAACCGTAAACATACTACCTTCAATCGCTAAATAGTAAACATACTACCTCCAGACATTAATTTTGTGAAAGTGCATATAGCTTTCACAGTTAACTCGTGAAAAATCATTTTGAACTAGTCACAGAAGCTACAAAAAAAAAAAAGAATAAAGAAGGCAAGATTAGATGAAGAATATGAAAACGATCCTTTTTTCGATCCTTTTTCGCCTAATCGCCTCGTCTTGCCTGCTCGACGGGCTTGCATGTTGTTCCTTCGACGAAGATGAAGAAGAAATATGAAGATTATTGCTCGGCAAACGAACCTTTGCAATCGTATCGTCTCGTCTCGCCTACTCGGCATGCTCGTTTGCTGCTCCTTCGATGGCGACGACAAAGAAGACGCACACTCGCGATCGCGGAAATGAAAAGGCCCTAGCTCAGAGCTCACAGTCGCAAAAATGAGAAAGACCTAACTCACCGTGGAAATGAGAAAGCCTTGCGGTCGCGGAAATGAATACAAAATGCTAACCGCTCCGTCAAGTTTTTTTTCATTTTTTTAATCAGACACGTATTTGATGTGGGTATCTTTTTTAATTTAAATATTATTTTTATTTGATATGGATTTGTTGTATCTGACACATATCCATGTTGTATCGAGCACGTATATGTGTGTAACACGTATCCGATATTGCATACCTTTATAAATAGGTGTATAAGGGCATTATAGTATTCAAGTGATGCCAATTGCGGTTGAGGTTTTTTGAACCCAATTTGCTCAACATTGCATTCATTGTCATTCATCTACCATGTCTAATTGATTTGAACGTGAGAGACTTGGCTTGATAAATTCGACGCTCTGAACGCACTTTCGCTGTCCATATTGTAGAATGGATGAGAAGTGAGCAATTTTACATAATGTCATGTCCAATGTCAGTTGTTTTCGTTGGTTGGCTATTTGGTAACACGAGAGTTCTTATCTGGGTATTTTCGATACTCTTACATGTTGTTGTAGTCTTTTTCGCGTAGTCGTCTGTTCAACAATTTCGATAACTTTGTGTGATTTTATGTTCGACGATCATTATGATTTTTTATTTGACTAGATTTGATTCATGTTGATCTATGGCGCATAAATATGGGTCAACAAAAATCAAGAATAAAGCATGATGCTTTCAGACCATATGATTGCATTAAAAAAATAAATGAGTACAAAATAATTTGATTTATATGGAGAAAAAGGATTCATGTAGCCGACCCCACGTAGTGGGATAAAGGCTTGATGTTGTTGTTGTACAAAATAATTTGATTTGGATATTTGCATGGAAATCAAGGCTTTAAAGGAGTTAGTTTTCCTAGTGATATGATATTCTGATAATACTTTGGTCTTAGTAAGATAAGTGATTTGGTTAGTGGGTAAACGAGATGCCACTGGTTAGCTTAGAAAAGATAAAGTTTAAGGTATGCCTTGGGGCACATTGAAAAGCATGGTGGAGTGCACCCATGTTGTACTTTGAAGTGACCAAAGCGTGGTGGGTTTGCATCACATGTTAAGCACGCACAAGACTGATTAGCATTTTAGCCTATTTCTGTCTCATTCAACTCATTCAATAAACAAACCCATTGCAAGTGGACATGTGTGCTTACCAGTTTGGGTATCAAGAACCCGGAGAATAGGTTGAGAATTGTGTAAGTTGCAGCTGCCAGAACCGAAGCTACTTGAATATTGGGGCTTACTGACATTATCAACATCCCAAGGTAATTAAAGCAGAGGAGCGTACAGAAAACTATGTAATAATACCACATGATCTTTGAAGCAGACCAGTAGTAACCTACTGCTGGATAAGTAATAAGTACGTATATTGTTGCTAGGATGAATAAGCAAGGAATTTCGACTATCACCTGCAACACAAATTACAGCATGAAAATATTCACAAGAAATAGTTGATGTGAGAATTTCGGATGAGTAGTACGCTATTTTTTATTAAAATTATTGATCTAGACATCTAATGGCAGTTTATTCTACCTGCGCGAGCGAGTACATAAAGGATGAGTAAGTTCCAGCACACAGTTCTCTGTACATAACAGCTCGCTCTCTTGCTATGATTTGTAAAACTGATGAGCAGTTATTAATGCCCAAGAACATCATGGCTAGGTACATTGATCCCAGTATACTGAAAAGGTCTTGCTCATTTGTTCTACAAATAAAACAAAAGATGGTTTAGTAATCATGGGAGACTATGAATTCTTCTTCAATAATTGAAGGTAAAAATGGATGAGAAAACCTTAAAACATTTTTGAACTTTGATTATACATCATGCGATGATTTTGACTTTGAGATGCTAGGGCAGGCAACGGATCAATACTGTGGATAAAATCTTTAAGAAATTCTACCTTTATCTACTAATCTAAATGATGAGAACATTGTACTGTTTATATTTAATGGTTGAAATAAGGTTATTATAAAGTTCCATGTCAGCAGCTTCAAAGAAATCCCTTTCTTCCGTCTTCAGTACTGAGTCAGTTAAAGCTTAATCATCTGGATGATGACCTTCTAAATTCCCACAAACCTCTTAAAGCAAAGTTCTTATAATAAATAATTGCTAGGTTAATAGATGAGGCATGCGAATATACTTTTGGCCAAATCTGATTTGACAAATATATATATATATATATATATATATATTATATATATATATATATATATATTCTCTTGTTAAAATCTAAATACTATGTTTTATATTCTACTATGTCGTGTGAACAAGAAATCAAATTAAATAAGGAAATGGAAATGGACTTACATTTTCCTTCCTTTCTGCCAAAAGAGTGCTGCAAATAGAACAGATAGAACTAGCATAAATGTGAGACGCACCAGGTTATATGTTGGACTTCTCCAATAGGACAATGATAGTTTCCAAAGACATGTCTTAAATTGTAGCCATCTGATATGAGAGAATGATTCAATGAAATGGTGATCACTAGAACCTTGTGGTGGGATAATCAGCTGTTCAACTAGCCTTTTGTTATCCCTAAGCAAAACATAGAATTTAGGAATACAAGTCACATTCATTGCCGGCTAACTATAAGTGCTTCAATGAAAGGTATTCTAAAATCAAGGATTATCATTCTTTGAAAAAAAAGGGATTTTAAAATTTTATTAATGTTTGGCTCACTCTACATAAAGATTTAGGAAGGGGAATAAGTGATGCTAATAATTTTGATCTATTTCACTATTATTCTTACCGTTCTTTCTTTTTTATTTTTTTTAACCAAATTCAAAATGCCTTTGTGTGATAAAAACTACCTAAATTTTATTTAAATGTTAAACATTGCAGTTTTTTTTCTAAATCCTGTTTAAGTTTTAAAAATCCCGCCCATGCCTTGCGAGCCGGCTCGAGCTCATTTATAGTGGGACAAACTCGAGTTCGAGCTTGCTTTCTAACTGACAAGCCAAACTCGATAAAGCCTAAACTCAACTCATTTGCATCCCTAACGACAACCAAAGAAAGTTCATACTCCATAGGGTGTTTATTGGATGTCGAAAGAAAGTCTTCTCTCTTATCAAATATATGGATTTCTTCTATCGAGTTCTATTTTTGGAAAATTTTCATGCTCCTCTTTTTAAAATTTTGTTTATTTTGATATTTCTTATAAGTTTGTTGTTGTGTATATCCGTTGTAAAATGCATTTATAGCCTCTTAGTTATAATTCAAACTTACTCATTGAGCCATTTCTAATGCTCTATGAAATTGTGTTTCTTTGATTATTGACCGCTACTTTCGGCTCTCAACTATACCATTTTTTCTAAAAATCTTTTTGAATTGACAGGAAGCCTTCAATATTTCCTCTCTTTCAGAAGAAAAAATTGGATTCACCCTTTCATATTGGATTTTTCCTTTATGTGGTTTCCATGTGGACAAATTATTTTGTGTGGAGTCCGGACGTCGTCCAGAGACTAATAAAAATGCGCCACGTCACCCCAAAAGTATATTGCGCTCGGTACCAAGCCCGGTACTAAGCTGTACCAAGCGTCGGTACCGCGCTCGGTACCAAGCGGTGCCGGACGGTTCTCCCGTCCGGTGTCTGCACAAATTAATCTCTCATAATTGTGTCCTATGTTTATTCTAATTTACTTATTTGATTGTCCGAGTCGTCATTAGCTATGGCTATCAAATAATATCTCTCTGTCGGCACAACTTCTAGCACAATAATTAGATTGGTGTATGATGTTTGCTTTTTTAATAAAAAATCAAATTTGTCTTATTATTTTGGGCCTTGTTGGGTTTTATATCGTGGATTCTGTTCATGCAGAGGTGGAACTTTATCACAACAAAGGTCTACTTTTCTGAACTCTACTTTGTGGAAGTATTTATGAATGATACCAATAATGAGAAGAGTCTTTGTAAACATGAGCAAAATCTATGCCAAGCTTTTCTTCAACAACTGCTGAAGTAACTTCAAGCATCCATGTTGCTGGATTGTAGTTATCTTTAATTTTTGGGACGCCTGGAATTCTCTGCAAAATAATAGGATGATGTTAGGCGACTGCATTATTTATAAAACCATGAATTTAATGATGCACCAAATCACTTCTTCAATTATGTTTGACAAAGAATGCCTGTTAATAGAACCTTTCCTTTTATACTTAGAATAATTTAAAAATTCTTTGAATAACCTAAAGTGGGAGTGGAGTAATGACTACTAGGTTGCATCTTTTTGTGATTTGGAAGTCGGTGGTTTGAATCATATATAGAATTTCTCTGTAATGCAGGCTAGGGTTCGCCCTTCAAACCCTCATTAGACTTTGCTGGTGGGAGCCTTGTTCACTTGATGTGCCTTTTTTAGCTTTGCTTCTTGACCTTTGTTTGGCTGGTATTGTATTTTTTTCTTTGACTTTTGACTGTGGTGCATGTTCTTGGTCCTAGTTATTGTTATGCTTCTCTGTTATTCTACTTTGCTGTGAGTTCTATTTCTTTTTCTTTATTTTTGTTATTTCAACTTTGCTATGTTGTGCTTTGTTGAAGGGTTTAAATTGGTTTATATTTCAGTTTTGGCCCGATAAAAAAGATTCAATTTTGATGGGTTTGATAGTTCTAGTGTTTTATTTTTGGTTTTTGTTTCTACTTTTTTTTTTTGTAAGATCTTAAAAAATGTTTAGAAATATAAAATCTAAAGAATATTTTGATAATTTTTAAAATTAGATATTAGATATTAGTTACTATTCAATTATGAAACATGAAGTGGAGAATATTTCAATACAACAATAGCATCAAGCCTTTATCCCACTATGTGGGGTTGGCTACATGAATCGTTTTTCTCCATTGTGTCATGTTAAGAGTTTAATTCTCATTTAAATTTAATAAAGAAAGGTCATTTCTAATATTTTCTAACCAAGTCTTTTTAGGTCTACCTCTACGTTTCTGTGGGCTCCGAAATTTCGGCACTGGCCTCCGCCCGCACTATTTACTTTTTTTTTTCTTTAGCGAGGGGAGTTTTAACATATTAAGTTCCGGGGTAAATTTTGGGAAGGCAGATGGGTTTGTAGATAAGACATTACCCAAAGATTTCGCCCTCATTTTGTAAGGACTTTATGAACTGAGTTCTGGTTTCCTATAGGCGCAAGCCCCTATAGTTAATAACCCCTCCCAATCATGAGAGAGAACTTTCGATTAAGGCTAGTCTTCAATCAGATACGTAGAGATGCGTGGTATCTGACATATAGTTGCAGCATGGGTTTAGGTATTTGGGAATAATAATAATAAGTTGCTTTGCCTTGCCTCGGTTTCCGTGCCCTCCATCGTCGGTCCCCAAGGTATAATCTCTAAACTTTGATTTCCGCTCTCGACGTTAGCGATGAGCCGGTAAACCCCCTACACGCTCACGTAGCGTAGTAGGGAGGGAAGCCAGTGCGTCACCTACGACGAGGCGGACAATCGCCTAAAATCCTATCCTCGGTGCTTGCGACGAGCCGGCAAACCCCCATCGCGCTCACGTAGCTTAGTAGGGAGGGAAACTGGCACAGCGCTTGCGACGAGGCGGGTAATCCCCGGACCGCTCATGTAGCTTGAGGGGGATAAAATTAAGTACTCATACGTGGGGAAATTCTTGTGCTTCTTTTCAACTGGTACCCAAGACCCTTAAACGCTCACGTAGCGGACGGAATTAAAGAAAATGAGGCCGCGGTGTCGTTGGACACCTACCCGAAGCGCTCAAGTAGCGACTAGGGGAAGGCTAGTCTCTCAAATTTTTTCCCCTAAATAGTGGAGACATCGGGAGGCTGCTGAAATTCAGATTGAAAATACCGTGGACTTGAGCAGAATTTGGGCCTACATGTGAACAAATCTTGAACAAATAAGGACATGCCTTGGACTTAAATGAACAAAAACGACTTAGTTTCAAATATGAATAATCAAGTTAAAGGTTTAAAGCAAAACTTGACTAAGAAAAATTGAACTTGGTTGAGCACAAGACTTGAACCAATCTTGGAAATACATAAGAACTTGATTTGAATACAGTCACAAAGATTTAAATTAACAGAAAGGGCTTGAACTCAAATAAGCTCGGTGCAAGAAGTCCTAACTTGGACTTGAACTCATGCACTGGATTGAACTTGAATTGGAGAAAATCATGATGAGCTACATAGAAAACTTGCAGACTAGAACCTGAACCGAATGAGGCTCAAAGGAATTTGAGCTTGAACCACTTGAACAAGAGCTCACAATTTGAATAAAATGGAAGACTTGTGGACTCAAGTCCAAATGAGTACAAAGAACATGATCTTGCATATTAAGCTCAAGCTGAATTCAAACTTCAAATGAGCTTAATGAACTGAACCCAATTTAAACTCAATCGAATTGCAAGAAGCTTGAATTTCCAACGACATCATAAGACTTGCCTACGAACATGTATAGAAGACTTGTAATGAGCATATGCTGAAAACTACGGTACACCTACAACTTGCCTTTGATTAAAAGAGCAAGAGTAATGAGCATGTCAATAACAATACAATCAATGAAGTATGCGTGAGTTGTAGTGAGAATCATGTGGTGTTATGTTCACAAGCAAAGCGAGGGAGGTGTAGGAGAAGCAGATCCTTTGTTATCAATGTGGGCTAATGTGTAAATGAGCACACAAGAGTCTACTTTCAAATGAGAAGAAGAGGGATATTGCGACATCCTCGTAAACAACATCGAGGTACAAGCGGGCACACTACAAGACCTTAATGTTTATAAACAAAGAATGTAGTGGACTCTTACAACAGTCCCTACGAGATCAAGAGCATCGTACCTACAAGAACAACAAATAGTTGAAGAATGCATATGCGTGCGTTAAATGCATTATTGAAACCTCCAACACTAGCAAAATTTGCCTGTAGATTGAGATGGCAATTCTGGCGTTTGATAGTGGAAGACACGTCCCTACAAACAAGTACAATCATCAAACCACCTGAGATTGGTGGAAGGTGGACATGATGCAGTAGTAATGACTCCTCTATGAACACTTCCAGGAGGTCGTAGTGGATACAATGGATCCCTACAAATACACATGAGCTGCTTGTGGATAACAACAATGTGTATATCGTAGATACAATGAACCCTTGTGGACACAAATACATATATCACCTACGACAACGGTGACCAAGATCTACAAGTACGTCGGGTAAAAGGGCAACTCGGTGTATGGAGAAGGACACCCCTTGGCATAAGGGAAATGATTCTTGAACAAATTAGAACTAAACTTCCTGGTGTTCCAAAGTTTCTTCTTGATCCTATACTCAAGAAGAAAACAGTTATGGTATCCACAAACACCGGAAGTAATAAGTCTACGACATTAAAGTGCTTGAAAGAAGTCATCTTCAAAGCTGCGGTCACTGATTTCAAAGTCTAGAAAGACCCCTCGGTGAATGAGAAAAGGGGAGTCAACATAAAGATGATGAGATGCCTCATAACATCAAGACCATACCGCCACCGGATCCGCAACACTCATATTAGCGGATAGAAGGCGTGTATAAATTCTCAAATGAAATGTTGTGCATTCAAATGACAATTACTTGCACAACTGAAATATTTCAAAATATTTATGCACGTGCATCGTAGCTTGTATACACAGGTACACGAGGGGTATGTCCAATCAATGAAATTCTCAAACACCGGCATGGGCCCCGACGAGCATGTTGTAGAAACACATGTGACGTCTAGGGATGCTGCGCGGGTCAACAAGTGAATTCAGATTCGAACCCAATCCTCCTATACGGATCAATAGGAGTCGGCATGGTTTGGACCATAAAATAAATATACGGTTGTGGCAACTGATGCATTTGTTTTAATACATTCATATTAGGCTTTCAAGGCCTATAATTAAGAGAATTCACTAATAAAGGTGTGAAGCCTATGAAATCCGATCCTCCTATGCGGATCAGTAGGAGTCGACAGGGTTCGAACCATAAAATAAATACACAGTTGAGGCGACTGATGTATTTATTTTAATACATTCATATTATGCTTTCAAGGCCTATAATCAAGATAATTCACTTATAAAAGTATAAAATTTACGAAACCCGATCCTCCTATGCGGATCAATAGGAGACGACAAGGTTCGAACCATCAAATAAATACACGGTTGTGACGACCGATATATTTGTTTTAACACATTCATATTAGGCATTTAAGGCCTATAATCAAGTGAATTCACTAACAAAGGCATGAAGCCCAAGAAACCTGATCCGCTATTGACAGCTCAATAGAGTTGACAAGGTCAAATCAATAAATGAAAATGACCGCAAACACCCCGATGATGGTCGTGTTGAATGTAGATCTCAACCGGAGCGGTCCATTTCAAATAATTCAAAGCTCCACCCAAATACCCAAAATTCAATATTCCACAAGCTCCAAAATCTCCAAAATTCCCAAAAATATTTAAAACTGAAATCAAACCAACAATCACTTAAAGCAAAATTCATCCACCCTCCGCAACAGTTTGTCGAGGTGGACAAATTAAAATTTACTTCAGCTCATAAAGTGCTAAATGCCTAGTCGAAAATATCAATAGGATCCATTCTCAAACAATCTCCTGCTAGTAAGGACATGGTACATGTTCTCTAACCAGCGGTTTTGCCGCCAAATGGCACCGCAGGATAAACGGTTATGACCCGGGGCCCTCTGAACCGAGTGATTTTTTCGTCAAATGGCACCACGAGATACCGGTTATGGCCAGAGCCAATACGCTCCTTAATGACATCAAATCCTTGATATATTAATCAATAGGATATAATTGACAGCGCACAAAGCCCTTTGTTAGCTAAGGTGGATTCAAATTTGTCCCCTTAGACAAATATCCAACACAAATCTATAAGGTCCCCTTAGACGAAGCAACCCATGGCTACTGAAAAGGATCCTTCTGTTAGGTTGAGTCGAATACCTCCTCTGACTAAGTAGACTAGGGACCACGATGGCCCGGGACAACAGAACCATGGGATCTTGATCGGGTCCATCATCCATTGCCCCACCATCCACTTTA